GGAATGATCTCAAAATGCAGGAATGCTTCTTTCTTTAGGAATCCCTTCAACTGTTGAATGTCTATTAAAAATTAAGCAATTACATGCTGATTAAACAAATCATAAAGTTCAATGAACAGCTAGTTCTTTTGGAGTTAGAGTCACGTATACTGTTGCACATGTTTTCTGCTCACAGGCATATTAATGCAGTTGATGAAAAAATTTAACCTGAAGTCATATATATATATGTAGTTAAAAATGGTAGGTTGACAAACTAGGGCCTGCAGGCTGCGTAATTTTTACATTTTTAAAGGGTTATTAAAAATACCAAGAATATGCATCAGAAACCATATGGCACACAGGGCCTAAAATATTTACTATATGAATCTCTAGAGAAAGTGCTCGCTGACCCCAGAACCATGTGAAAAGTACCAATAAAGAACTCACCCATCTTTGGCTTTTACCAAGAAGTACATTGTCTTGTTTTGAGAGACTGGAGCTGGGGGATTGAACTAAGAACATGCAGATTATGACCTGCTGAAATGTGAAGGGGCACAAGCCACTTACAGGGGCAGGCAGGTTTCTCTCTCGATTATCTGAGCTCCCACTTTAGGAAAGTGTAATCAATTAACTCATTTGGATCGAAGGCACAGTTTCAATAAACCCACACAAAGGAAGCAGAGAGACAAGATTTACTACTTTCAGATCCTAGAGGCTGGGGGAGTGGTGGGAGTAATGAGCTGGGGAAAGGGCGGTCCTCTGTCCCAGGTCACCAATGAGCAGGAGGTAGAGAGTGTGGCAAGCATCGATCCCTTATAAGGTGGTTGGGGCAGAGGTCACTGACCTTTTACTGGCTTAACCCTAGCGGAAGAAGCAAATTCGAGCTTAAGGTGGGAATCTGAAGGTCGAGTCCTCATCTAAATGTTCAGACTCTGGTGTGAGCAGGGTTTTCATACTGTCAAACGCCTAGGCAGCAAGTCAGAAAAACAAAAAATTGTTTTTCTCATCACACTTCTCCCCTTGGAAGCATTAATTCTCACTTGTAAAATCAGTCTTCACAGCCAGTCTAAAAAGAGGACCAGAAACCTCCTGTAGCAGACGCTGTAACAGAACTCTTGGCTCTTCAGTCAGAGCTGCTGCCCTTTGGCCCTCGTTTGCTCCTTTGCTCTCCCTCCCCCAGACCGCTCCTCAACATCATCACCAGCCACCAATTTGCCACCCGCCGTCTTTGACCTTGGCTTCTTGGTCAAATGCTTTTTCCGTTCTAATTGCTCTTGTGAATCTGCTTTGCTATATTGTCCTACTTTTTCACCTGCTTTCATCTTCCAAGGCCCCTCTTCTGTGATCTTTTTTTTTTTTTCTGCCTTCTCCACCAGAATCTCAGCCCTGTCGAGACAGATGCCTTCCAGATCGAATATTTCTACCCTTTTACTTGCTCCCGGCAGGCCCGGTTTTCTCGCTGGTTTCAAGGCAGGTCTGGTTCTGGCCCCTGCTGCAGACGATAGCAGAGAGAGGACTTTAGGCGTCTTCCCTCACCAGCCTAGCTGCACCAGTTTTGGGGAGCAGCACAGTTATCTTTCGTGGATACTGCTTGCACACAACTTTCATCCTGTTCTTTTAGTATCCATATTGCTTTCTGTAATTTTCTTCCCGTGGACCTTCTGGCTGCTTGCCTTCCCCTATAACTGCAGCAGTTTTCCCCATCTACCAAACTGACCAGGCCACTCCAGTGGTGCCTGCTGCTCTTGGGGTCCAGCACACATGTCTAACCAGAGCTATTGCATGCTCAGTTGGTAAGTCATGTCTGACTCTGTGACCCGTGGACGGTAGCCTGCCAGGCTCATCTGTCCATGGGATTTTCCAGGCAAGAATACTGGAGTGGCTTGCTGTTTGCTTCTCTAGGGGATTGTTCCAACTCAGAGATGGAACCTGCATCCTGCATCTCCTGCATTGCCAGGTGGATTCTTTTCCACTGTCCCTCCTGGGAGCTATTACAGCACTCAGATTTCTGGTACAGTTCTCTCTTCATTTCAGTTCAGTTTGCTGAATCCCTCCCTCCTACCTGGAGAGCCTCCTCCACCCAATACACATTTATCAAGTGTCGACCCTATGCTGGGTGCTATCTAGGCTCCGCAGATCAGGGATGACTGAGAGGCAGCCTAGGTCTCAGTGTTTTTTGACAGAGGAAAGATGATATGCACAGACATGAATATAGAGCAAAGCAGTAGGTGGTGATGAATACAATAACTAAATATTATGAGACCAGAGGAGACTGTTTAGAACTAAACTCTCTAATGATAAAACTGCCAAACTACCTAGTGAGGATATTACTAAATTAAACAAATTAGCCACTTAAAGAATCTTTGATTCTGTTTTTAACCTTTCCTTAAATACATAGTTTAAAGGTCAAACTCCTGGGACATTTTTTTCTGAGTGACTTATTCCTTCTCTGACTCAGTTTCATTTACTGATACATTATCTTGCCTCCAGTCGAGTCTATAAACATTCAAGTTCTGTAAATAAATGCAGCTTTTGGATTATAGTGCAAAAGACAACATCTTTTTTTTTTTTTTTTTTTTTGCAAACACCCCTGCTTCTTACTAGAAATGGAATTCAGTCCTTATTCCATTTCTCAAGTCTGTGGGATGGCGTCTGCTGACAGGTGGGTGTGCAGTTGATCCAGGGTGATTCATGGCTTTGTTTATTGGAAGAGGCTTTGAGAGGTTGCGAGAGATATCTTTTAAAGAACTTTGCATCTGGGCATCCATTGTCTTCATTTCCTTTTTTCTTCTCATTCCTTGTCTACCTCCTTTGGCCCAAACCCTTTTCCAAGGATTATATTGATATATCAAATATAAATTGGGAAAACCTGGCCAGGACCTGCTTGTCTTGAGGGATACCCCCAAGAGCACTGGGCTGCAAGTAGGAACTGTGGGGCGGTGACTGTGTTTTCATCAGCTGCCGCATGTGACTCCTGCTGTGGGTACCACCGGCTGGTCTAGTCATTCATGACATATTTTCTGAGAGCCTTCTCTGTGCCACAAACATCATGCTAGGTTCTAGGGACACAAATTGAGTCAAAAGGAAAACTGTTGCTGCCCACATTCGGGGGAGGTAGCATCAATTACAAGTTCACATTAATAGATGTGTGATAACAAATTATCCTACCTCTGATACAGAGAGGAAGAGCTAATATTAGTGTTTAATTCTCTAACAGTTCTGAGATCTCTGGTCTCTGAGGGTGTGTCTCGTCTCTCTCTCTCCCCCTCTTCCCTCGCTTTTAAGTGAAGGTGGAGAAGACAGCCAGCAACAGAGTCCTGTCATCCCAATGGTGCAATATACCTACATATTTTCTTTTATTATTTTAATTGGAGTATAATAGCTTTGCTGAGTTGTTTTAGTTTCTGTTGTAGACGTGAATCAGCTATATGTAGACTTAAATCCGTTCTCGAGCCTTCCACTGCTCCCCTGTCCCACCCCTCCAGGTCAGCACAGAGTACTGCGTGGAACTTCTGGTGCTATACACTGGCGTCTAACTAGCTATCTATTTTACACATCATTTTTTTTTAAATTGTGGAATTCTTGATCCCCCAAAGTAGATGTTATGATCTCCATTTAAAATACACATAACAGAGAAAAACACTATTGTCATTACTCAGACTGTCATCGGGAGGGGGAATAAATGAGTGCTTGTATTATGGGGGCCGAAATCTGCCACAGGCCCTAGCCGGAAACCATCGGATTTAGTGGCTGCTAATCCATTCAATTCAGGCATTTATTTTTTCCTCCGTATTTTTTACAGCGGTGAGAGAGAAATCTCTTTTTCTCCACAGAAGTCATTTCAGATCTCAAAATCTGAAATGCGTCCTCTCCGATGCATGCCCACCCACAGGGTTGACAAATGCTAGATTTCCCAAGATAGCTGCCACACGCTCGGTTTCTAATCTCCGTATTCATTCCCCGCCAGAATTTCTAAATCCTTCCCCAGTACGTCCAGCCATCCTTTCTGAACTTTTGAGCTCCATCTGCTTTCCACAAAGCTCCTGAGCACTAGTCGGGCGACAGAGGCCAGGGCGGAGGGCCCAGGCCCCAGTTGGGGGATCCCTGCACCCGAGGTCTGACTCTGCAAGGCCTCTGGGCATTCTCGGGCTAGCCAGCCCCGCCACGCACCAGCGTGCTTCCCAGTCTTAGATTCCCGGCGCTGCCGGCGAGCTGAATGAGGAGCAGCGCTATTTTTACCTTCCCGGCTGCAATCCTTTATATATATTTGCAGGAAGGAAATAAATAAAGGATTGAGAAGGAAAGGCTTGGCCTAAGTTTTACACTAGAAGGAAGGGGTTGGAATAGGAGCGGGTATGTAAGGTCTGGGGCGGTGGAAAAGGCAGGTCGATTTCTCTGGGTGGGTGGTTCCTCCACATCCTTTTGCCCTGGTAATCCCCACACTCTTCTTTTTCCCCCTGTGGCTAATCCCTGACTGCCAGCGTCCTCTCTCCCCCGCCCCCACCTCTGGAGGTGCCACCATCACCTCTGATGCTGCATCACTCTGCTGCCTTTTTTCTCCCCTCTTTTTCTCCCAAAATAAAGCATGCGCAGTGCGTCCCGTGCCAGGGAACAGCATCAGCATCAGCACCAGCATCAGCACCGGGACGCGGGGCCGCGCTCGGGCGCGCTCTCGAGGGCGGGGCGCACGCCCGCGCCACTCGCGTCCGCGCGCAGCCTCAGCATCCTCAGCCCCCGCAGTCGCTGGAGCTGCCGCGCCCGCCGCAGGGAGGGCGGAGCATCTGGGGAGGCTCCAAGTTGGCGGAGCGACTGGGAACCCCCGGACTCTTCAGCGGCCGCCCGGGGAGGGGCTGAGAGGCGAGCGAGGGAGGGGGCGCCGCCCAGCCCCTAGCCTCGACCCCCTGTCCGCGGCCGCACCATGCGCGACGAGCCGGCGTGACCGGCTCCGCCCGCAGCCGCCCCTGCAGCCTAGACCCGCGCTCTCGCTGGCCACACCAAGCGGCGCCCGGGAGCTATGAGCCATGAAGCCACCCGGCAACAGCTCCCGGCGGCCGCCCCTGGCGGGCTGCAGCCTTGCCCGAGCCTCCGGCGGCCCCCGCGGCGGCTCCGCCGCCCTGGCGCCCATCCGCGCCCTGGCCCGCGCGCCTCCCTGCCGCCTGCTCCTCGTCCTTCTCCTGCTGCCTCCACTCGCCGCCTCGTCCCAGCCCCGCGCCTGGGGGGCTGCTGCACCCAGCGGTGGGTATGGCCCCGGTGCCCTTTGCAATGTCTTGCCCAAGGGGCCCTGCAGAAGAAAGCGAAGGGCGCGCGGGACCGTGCCCTCCGGACACGTCCAGGGCTCGGCCTTTCCAAGCCTCCCTGCCTCACCCCTCATTCCCAAACCCGCGTTCACTCCAGTTCACTTTTTGAAGTCCATTTCTGTTGCAGTCACTAAATTACTGCCGGAAGATATTTAGTGGATGCGGGGTCCCTAATTGGTTTCTGTGCAGCTTGGGGAGACCGGTGTACGGGAGATGCAGCGAGGAAGCAAGTTTTTTTCTCGGGTGGTGGAGCCTGAACGCGAATGCCGGAGGATGTGATGAGAACAGTGCTAGTGTATCTTCTTAGATTACCTAATGGGTTTATTCACCGCTGTTGGAATTATAGGTGGGAGTGGGAAATTTCGGGGCTCTAAACCTTTGGCTTGTGATTTCTCAAAATACTTGTTATTATCATGAACAATTAATGTAATGTTCAATACATTGATGACGGAAAATCAGTGAGAGCAGAAACCTAGCCATAGTAGGAAAATAAATTGGAAAGCTGCCAGCCTCTGCATCCCACTCTGGCAAAGGATTTTTGCTCATCTCAAAGTTAAAAGAAAAAGGAATTATCCATTTTGTTTAATGAATCAATTAACATTCAGTGTTCATGAATTCAACACTCAAGTTATCTTAGGAGTGTTCTTAGCTCTCAGGTGGGATACTGCTAGTCGGAGTCCCATTTAGCTTCTGCAGAAGCCGAAGGGGGTGGAGATGAGGGTCAAGAACCACTGAGCATGTTTGTTTAATGACCCTACCTTCAAGTCCATTCTCCTCCACCCCCATATTTAGAAGTATAGATTTAAAAGACTATAAACAGTACATTGTTGGATATGCCTTATTGCCTGTTAACCTATCCAGGCCATTTCGTTGTTGCAATAACTTGCTTTCCTGTGTCTCTACTCCTTACATGCTTTTAAGTAGAAAACTTTGTTTTTGCAATTAATGGAAAAAATGCGTTTTAGTACTTATGCATTGATAGGGCACTTGTGTGTTTGTGTGTGTTTGTGTCCCCCCCACCCCCCACCCCTAACCCCAGCTCCGTATTGGAGTGAAACTGCAGGAAAAAAATTGGGAGTCCTGGCAGATGAAAACAACACATTGCAACAGAATAACAGCAGTAATAGCAGTTCCAGCAATGCAATGCAGAAAGAAATCACCCTGCCTTCAAGACTTGTATATTACATCAACCAGGACTCCGAGAGCCCTTACCATGTTCTTGACACAAAGGCAAGACACCAGCAAAAACATAACAAGGTAGGCAGGGGCTGGGTATGCAAAAGTGGCTGCTGTGAAGAGTTGTCCTTTGATTTGATTTTCTGCCAGAATCTGATTTTACAAATTTTATTGCAGCATTTTATTAGGAAACCAATTAATATTATGATAGGGGAGAAGCTGTAGGGAATTCACCTGGAATCTACTGGGATAGGGTTGCTGTTTCTCTTTCCTTTCTGACTCTAAACTGGAATTGGAATTTTCTTAAGGCCTTATAAGTTTAACAGCTGAAAAATGTGGTCCATTTTTCTTGTAGGTGCATTGAACACTGAATAGTAGTTAAACCAATATGTTGGTAGTCCTGACTTTTATCTGTGAGGCTTTATGTAAGGGTGCAGTATTCTACCTCCCATGATGAAAACTGCTTTCAGCCTGCACCCAGAAAATTGCTATAAGAAGCTATTGGGCCATAGATTCCGCATCTACACTTTCACTTAGAAATTGAGTCATTAAGTTTAAACAATCTCTTTCTTTAGTTAGTAAATACTTTTTTTTTTGGTTATGTTTTCAGTAGGTCAATAATATGACATATTGAAGGATTATGGTGAATATAAACAAACAATTTATATAACTTAGAGACCAGTTCTTTCAAGACTTTATCTGTCTTATTCATTGTGAGCAGTTGCTTTACTTTGGTTCAGAAAGTGTCATTAATTTTTTTCAAAAAAGATTCAGTGGAAGATGAAGGTGCATAATATCCAAAGAGTTTAAGGGATCCTTTTTTTTTCCTGCTTACTAGTCATTATTTGAGTTAATAATATTTTGGACCCCAAGCAGATTTCCATAATGGATTATCATGCCTTTTTCTTTATTAGCAGCAGAAAATAGAGTTTCTGTGTTAAATATTTTACTTTGGACTTGTCAGGGAGGAAGAAAATGTTTTTCTAGCTTTCTAGGTTCTTCTAGCTGGTCCAAATATTAAATTGACATGAGTTAGATTAACAAGAGAAAGTGAAATTTACTTTCATATGTATACATGTGAGGGCTCGAGGCCCCTGCATATCTGAGAGGGTCAGAGATGGAAAGATAAAATGAGGCATATATACCATCTTAAGCTAAGGAATGGCATAGGGCCCTGGGGCTTCCAGGGACAGGAGGGTCATTCATAAGATGATAAAAAGAGTGGATGGTTGGTAATTAGATGTTTGCTGGCCATATAGATGGGGCCACTTAGCTAAAATTTATCTCTGGTAATAAATCTTTTCTGGGAAAAATCCTCAATTTAAATTCTTCTGAGTCATTAAGGGAGGAGCAGTGGTTTCTCTTGAACTTTCAGGGTCTTGATTGCACCTTAGCTCAAAATAATCCTGATGCAAAAGTGACACATTTTGTGGAAAGTGGTTCTGAACACCTACAGATTATACCTGTTCAGTTGAGAAGAACAGTCATTTTCTAAACATCTGGAACTTAAGGAAAGTAGATGGTTTGCATCATTATTTCCCTTAGTTTTCTAAAATATAGGTAACAGTATTTATTCCCATTTTCCAAACGGGGAGTTAGACATTTAAGGCTATCAGATGTAAATGTAAAACCATTGATATAAAATTCAAGGGGCCTGAATAATATTTACAGGTCAGGTTTATGAGATAATGCTTCCATCATATAAGATGTTTTTGGAGAAGTTAACTTTGCTTCACGGTGTTGTGAAGTGACTGCTCCCCACCTTAGCTGAGGTGCAGGGGTCTCACAGTATACTCACAGCCCTTTCCCCAGCTGCTTGTATGTAACTTGATGGGTTGACTCCGGGATCTTGTCTACCGATTTGTCTTGTTGGTAGGAGGAGAGGGTGAGTCTTCAAGGAAGAAAAAGTTCCTCTTGATAAAGACACTGAGGCCAATTTTATGGTTTTCCTACTAATTAATAAGATCTTCTATGGTTCGATGACACGTTCTCAAACTCACCAGTGCCTTTTGCATAGGGTGCTGGAGGAAGAAAAAAATAATGGCCTGAAAGTCTATTTTAAAGAAGTTCTTTTGAGTTGAGACGAAGGAAACTTTAGGGGAACTTTTTTTTTTTTTTTAACAGCTCAGGTACTGTTGTTGGCTATGACTGACTCCGGTCTTCTAGCCTAATATTATGTGATTGCTTTGTTTGGTGGGACTTGGTTTGACTACAATATATCAGAAGTTTTATGTTAATGAGGTTGTTAAAACTTTACTCACCACCATATAGAGCAGTGGGTTTCCCAGATGGCGCTAGTGGTAAAGAACCCACCTGCCAGTGCAGGAGACGAAGAGGTGCAAGTTTGATCCCTGGATCGGGAAGATCTCCTGGAGGAGGGCATGGCAACCTGCTCCAGTATTGTTGCCTGGAATCCCATGGACAGAGGAACCTAGCAGGCTACATAGGGTCCATAGGGTCACAAAGAGTCAGACATGACTGAAGCAACTTAGCATGCATGCACTTGTGCACACATGTAGAGGAGTAGATTTCTCACTGTGGAGCACATACTTGCTTTTGGAAGGATGTTGCCTCTCTATTTCCACCACCTTTAGTGGTTGAGTTTCTTTTATCTTCAAAGCAAATGTTTATGCAAAAATTACATTTGAAAGCATTCTTCTCCTTATTAGTTTGACTCAACAAGTATTTGTTGCACTGTTCTCATGTGCAAAGTGGTAGGCTAAAGATTCAGAGATAAGAGATAAGGAGAACAAGGATGAACAAGACATGGTCTGTCTTCCAGGAGATGCAGAAATGAGATCAGCAAGATTCCATAAAATGTTCTTGAACAGGTGTAAGCAGTGTTCTTCCTGTATGGTGGTTTCGCTGAAATTTCCCTTTGTGTCCTGTGATTTCCCCTGTGTTTCTGTTTTGAAGCTTCTCTTGAACTCGTTGACAAACAGTATTCCATATGGTTTCTGCTAGATCTTTCGCTGACTTACCTAATCATAGTGATGGGAGATGCATGTCAATTCAGCAGCTTTCCAAATGCTTCAGTAAGACAGAAAGTATACAGTTTCCTTATTTTTGCTTTTATAAAAGAATTTTTGACTTTAATATCTGTGTATTTTACACCTTTTTTTCTCCCCTGATTTCATTGCACTCAAGCACATTTTAATGAATGCCTTAGAAATGCTGAATCACTGTGCCATTCTCCTGGGTCCCTAGATTGGGGGATAGAGGTGGAGAGGGAGATTTCCAGATATAGATTGCAAGGCAGAGCTCCGTATCTACTTCCTAAATATTCAGAGTTGACCATGCGCTACTACTTTACAGTTGTGAAAGTTAAAATGTTTGTTAACTCTTTCAAAATCAGTAAGTTTAAAAGCAGACTGTGCAAAGCACCACTGTTAACACTAGTGTTTTTGAAAAGCTTAAAGTTTTCTGTCAATGATTGTTTAGGAATTTTTTGTTTTGTTTTGTTTGGGAATCTTTTTGTCTCTAGATAGGGCTTTGCGTAACTTACTGTTCAAACTGTGACATTTTTTGAGAGTGAAAATAGGTGCACCTAGTAATTATGCCAGGATAATTGGCATAAACCTAGATGGTTCAGGGCAGACTGGAAACTTGGTTACCTCAGACCTAAATAGTAATATTCCTTGATTTTTGGAACTTACCCAAATTCAGGTGTTTTTAGAGACAGCATTATTTTCTGATGATTTATTGTAATTTTTTTCTTACTAACTGAGTGTGTTAGTCACTCAGTCGTGTCCGGCTCTTTGCGACCCCATGGACTGTAGCCTGCCAGGCTTCTCTGTTCATGGAATTGTCCAGGCAAGAATACTGGAGTGGATTGCAACTAACTAGGAAGTTAGTTTACCACCATGTGGAAGTAATAGTGTCTGAATTGGAAACATAGTTTTGCTGTCTTATCAAGACTTTTCTTTACTTGTAGAGACTTTTATAAGCATAAATGGAATTTTATGATTACTAAACACAAGCATCTTATCAACCATTCATTCAGTTTGTTGATAAAATAAACATTTGAAAAGGAAAAGAATCCATTTACATAAATAAATAAATAAATTAATTAATAGATAATCCTATGAGATCTGTTTCTGAGAAAGTTAATGAACCTGTGGAGGAAGAAAAATACTTTTTCTTCTACTTTTCAAGATTCTTGGCTGAGACACACCCTGTAATTAAAGACAGGTTAACAGGAGAAAAATAGAAGTTTAACACCATAACACTATAATATCAACAGTTAATAGTTGTGTTTAATAATGTGTATGTCTTCTGTGTCCATGGGAGAGACCGAAGAAAACTGAGTAACTTGAAATGGCCCAGCCACCAGCTTAAATAACTGTCCTGCTAAAGACAAGCTACTGGGGACTGGGGAGCCACTGATGGGAGGCTGTCAGGAAAAGCACCGTAAATGAGGGTAAGATTGTATGCAGATTTAAATCGTTGCCTTTTACACTGATTAAGTGTTTCTGGTGGCTTTGAGCATCCTCCTCTTTCTGGTATGGACAGGGAAACACCTTATAAATAGAGATTTCTTATACATATAAATGTCTCTTACAAAAGAGTAACTTCTGTTTGGTTTACACAGCTTCTCCTGTGTCTGCTGTTTCTTAAAAATAACCAGCCTAAAATAATGTTTATGCCAAAGAGGCATATTTTGGGATAGTATATTCTGCTCCCCTTCAAATCTTTTCCTAAAACTTGCCTTTAGTCAAAATTACTTGCCTTGAATCCTGCTTTTTTAGGATTCTTTTCTCTTACAGTTGGGAAGGGGTGGAACAGGCAGCTTATGAACAGCACAGGGTCTGGGGGAAGATGAAACTCATCTCCTTGGCTGAGTTTTTTGTTACCTTCCCTGCTGTGTTGAAAGGGTTAGTTGCTCAGCCATGTCTGACTCCTTGCAACTGTGTGGACTGTAGCCCACTGGGTTCCTCTGTCCTTGGGATTCTCCAGGCAAGAATATTGGAATGGGATACCATGGTCTTCTCCAGGGGAATCTTCCTAACCCAGGGATCGAACCTGGGTCTCCCACATTGCAGGCAAATTCTTTACTGTCTGAGCCATGAAGTCAGGAATAT